TCCTTAAAACTTTATCACCATGCATGTGCTTTGGGTGGTAGCAATCAACTCTATGATTATGATATAGATAAGGTATCACCAAAATTCAAAGATATATAATAAGAATTTTTTTAACTTGTATTCTAAAAATATAGGTTTAAATTCATTAATTAAGACATGTTTAATTAATTTTACACATTTTTACATCAAATTCATAATTTTTTTTTTATAGATTTTGAATATAAATATTTTATTTTATTTTAATTTTACATTTTATGTTTTATTTTATTTTAATTTTGTATGAAATTTTCTACCAATTTAATTATAATAATACAATTAATGAGATTTAATTTGTATCTTAAAAACACAAGTTAAACAATCTTTATTAATAATACCTCCATATATAGGAAGGTGTCTCATTGTTAGAATTGTACTGAAATACAAAATATTAAATGGACGAACTCACTGTCATTGTTAGGGACTTTTTATCCTCTAATTATTAGTTTTTTATATTTCAGTATAGTGCAATAAAAAAAAAAAAACTTTTTTCATATGTATATTACCATTTTATCCACTTTCTCAATAAGTCGTGTATGACATAGGCTCAAATTCTTACCCTTAATTTCTGACAGGATTAAAGATTTCGTTCTGTTTTAAAATTTGTTACTTCACATTTTTTACATTGTTTTATGTGATTACTTCTATATATCTTCTCATTCACTTACATATAAAAACATTACATAAAAATACATATCAAAAAGCCAAACGATTACATTTTAAAACAAATAAAATATAATTTAATTTCAAGTAAAAAATGGAGTAAATTAAAAATAATTGTCAAATACTAGCAATATTTTGTATTAATAGTAAGGATAGTTAAGTAAGCATTTATTAATTGAGTAGCTAAGATTGGATAAATGTGCATCGCTTGAAGTCAAATTACTTGTGACTGAATAAGAGAATGAATGACTTGGACCATAACATAAAAGCTAAGGTTAGATAAATAAGCAGGAACTTAGAAAGAAAAACATAGTACTTTCCATTCATTTTAGTGGTCTTATTTATTTATTTATTTTTTGTACATCAAAAGTTAGTTGTTTAATGTTATAGAGTTTAAATTCGTGAATTTGACCCCTAATTAAGTCTTTTAGGTTAATAAATATTGATTTGGTCAACTTTTTGTTAGTAGTGGTCTTATTTATTATTTATATGGTATAAAAAGAATAATAAAAATTTTTATATATTGTTTTTTTATTCAATTATCAATTATAAATATATAACATAAGCTAACTCTTTCAATCTTCAATTTTACCTTCATCCTATGATTCGAACTTAAGTAGTAAGCCGTTATATAGAATTAGCTACTCTTTGTTGAACAATTTTAGTAAGATTCTTTCCTTTCTCCACATGAATAGATTACTAAGTACTACTATACCTTTTTCAAGGTAAATGCCAAGAGCCAACGACCCAAACACCGACAATGGGACACCTCCGGAAGAGAAATTAGGGGAGAAAAATCAAAACTTTAAATTGTTTAATAATAAAATATTCAATCTAATTACTCATTTTTCCTTTATAAAAACCCTGTATTTCTCTCCATTTGGTAGAATTTTCCTCTTCCACATTTCCCTCTCTCCAAATGGCTTTCCTACCATTGTTCTCAATTGTACTTCTACTTCTCCTCTTTTCTCCCAACTTTATCTCTTCTTCCCCTCTTCAAGATCCTCAATTGGTTGTTCAAGAAGTTAATGAGTAAGCTCATTTCAAATTTTCTACATTTTATTTCAAATATTTTATGGTTGTTTTTATTAGTTAGTAATAAGTTGGTGTTAACCATAAAAGAAGTTTGAATTTCTTTCGAAAATATGTAGATATGGACTCTGAAATTAAGATTTTAAAATTAGAATAAATGGATTGAATTTTAATGGTATTGCAGGAAAGTTGAGAATGTCACCATGGCGAGGAGGAAATTGGGATATTTCTCGTGCGGAGCAGGAAACCCTGTAGACGATTGTTGGCGGTGTGACCCCAGCTGGGAGAAGAACCGCCAGCGGCTGGCCGACTGCGCAATAGGGTTTGGAAAGGATGCAATTGGCGGAAGAGACGGGGAAATATACGTCGTCACCGATCCCGGTGACGACGATCCGGTGAACCCCAAACCGGGTACGCTCAGGTATGCCGTTATCCAGAGCGAGCCTCTGTGGATCATCTTCGCTCGTGACATGGTGATCAAGCTCAAAGAGGAGCTGATCATGAACTCGTTCAAGACCATCGACGGCCGCGGTGCTAGTGTCCACATCGCCGGCGGACCCTGCATTACAATACAGTACGTGACCAACATCATAATCCATGGGGTTAACATACATGATTGCAAGAGTGGAGGGAATGCTTACGTGAGGGACTCACCGGAGCATTACGGGTGGCGGACGGTATCGGACGGAGATGGGGTGTCGATATTCGGCGGCAGCCACATATGGGTGGATCATTGTTCTTTGTCCAACTGCAATGACGGGTTGATTGATGCCATCCATGGATCTACAGCCATAACCATCTCTAACAATTACTTGACCCATCATAACAAGGTTATGCTTTTGGGTCACAGTGATACCTATACTCAAGACAAGAACATGCAAGTCACTATTGCCTTTAACCATTTTGGAGAAGGCCTCGTGCAAAGAATGCCTAGGTAATTAAATTCTAGTTATATTCAACTTACAAGAAAATCGAAATAAAGTTGGAATACAATCTACACAATGCAAGATTTGAATTTGAAATTTAATGATTGCAATCGCGGATATCTGACAATGATTTTATTTGTATATGCAGATGTAGGCATGGATATTTTCATGTGGTGAACAATGACTATACTCATTGGGAAATGTATGCAATTGGTGGCAGTGCTGATCCAACAATTAACAGTCAAGGCAATAGATTTCTGGCTCCGAATGATGAATTCTACAAAGAGGTAAGAATTGAAGTACACTAATTTCTTTTCAGAAAAGTAGAAACAGTTAACTTAATTCCTTGATCTTAATTCTGGAAATTTTAGGTTACGAAACATGAGGATGCACCGGAGAGTGAGTGGAAAAATTGGAATTGGAGGTCGGAAGGAGACTTGCTGTTGAATGGAGCATTCTTCACACCGTCTGGCGCAGGAGCATCTTCAAGTTACGCCAAGGCATCGAGCCTGGGTGCTAAACCATCTTCACTAGTTAGTTCAATCACAGCCGGAGCCGGTCCACTCGTTTGCAAGAAGGGCTCGCGTTGCTAAACATGATGGGATGCGGTAGTGTTGGCTTATAATAGAAGTGAAAGAGAACAAAGAGTTCCAGAAACTAAAAGAAGAGAGTAATGAAGGCAATTGTAATTACAAGAAATCCTCATTCACCTTCATCCATAGTGGTAACTCTTATTTTGTATATGTAACAGGCTTACAGCCTTTAGCCTGTTTGCTCCTACTTTTATTCCCTTCAATAAATTATTAAAAAACTATAAGAAGTCTCTGTATGGTCAACTAGGTTTGGATTCTTAAGAGATGAATGGCCTGTTTTTTATCAGATAGGAAAATGACATGATCCTTCACACCTAAAAATCCTAATAGCCAAATAAAACAGTTATTATTCTAATATCAAGAATTGAATTCACTAGTAAGTAAGTCTTGAAATTAATACTTAAAAAAAATTAATTTTTTTTAAATGTACTAAGTAACACCCTACTCATAAATACCATTCCATTGATTATTAGTCATTTTCTGCAAACTGATGGCGGAGCCTGTCCATAACTACACGTTTGTTTGTACCTATATTTGTTCGTAAGAAGTACAGTTTCATCCTACAGTTCCACCGACAGACTTTAGATAAAAACAGACAATTGAGTCTATTATTAAGGCTACCTGTCTCCAGTAACTTCACTTGCCATAAATAACAGCACCTATCTTCATGCTTTCTCCATACCATCATAAATAACTAATGAAAGATCAGCAGCAACAGAAGAAATTTTGTTTTTATTTCAAGGAATAACACTTTCAATTACTCTAGTACATACTGCATGACATATGGCATGATTAGTAAACTTAAAAACTTACTCCATTCAGGATTTGGCTTGAGTTTCGACCCTCAGTTCCTCATGAAATGCACCGAAAGAGCTAGTACAAGAAAAGTGCCAAAAGGAAAATGAGCTGTGACACAAAAAATAAGTAGATAATTCTCATAGCCTATGTACCACATTAAAGACAAGTACATAAACAACAATAGGATAATTGGCATGACCAAGGCCATACTGAATTTGAGTCTCAACTTGCATATTGAGTCTCAACTTGCATATTGGGTCCCAACTTGCATGTGGGACCAAAAGACGTTTTCATAAGCAAATACATTGTAATGGACTATGATCATAAGTGCAGAAAGACCCATGTCAAGTAGATACCCTTGCAACATCATAATCCAGTGTCCCCTATGTCCAGGAAGAAAGATTTGACCATCAAATAAATTAAGGGATAAGAACAAGCAAAATAAACTGATAAACAAGAAGAGTTAAAATTCTACAAGGCCAAGAAATGGCAGTTCAAAAATATAAGAAAAAATGCTTCAATCAAGTGAGCATATGGTTCCAAAATTACTCAGAAGCCATGTCAAGCCAACACACTAATCCAACCTCCTTCCCTTGGTTAAGCAATCACTTGAAACACTGGGCTGCTGTATCAGTAGTCTGACGGAGAGATAACATCATCAATTTTCAATATCATCTTGACAACTTGTGTTGCCAACAAGATTTGCTGCTGCTTGCCAATGAGGGTCTCAAAGACATTTTGTTCACACATATCATTTGTGCCAACATCATTACAGTCTATTCCACAGTTAGGGTTGTTCTCCTGTGGATTGGATATAAAATCAAAATCAGAAACCATCAGCATTTTATAGTAATGAGATCTGGTGAGCTGTAGTGGACATATGATTATTACTACCTTAATTTGCTGAGATTTCACAGCAGAAAGTGTCTCAATAGGTTGGAGCCCACTATTCTCTGCAAGTGCCATGGGAATAGAATCCAAAGCATCTGCAAATGCCCTGACAGCATACTGCAGATAAAGAAAACTCAACCTCAAATGCATAACCCACACAAAGTGTATATATATATATATATATATAAGAAAAAAGAAATACATGCATATCCATGTATCCGAGTTCTTTCTTACCTGCTCAACTCCTGGATACTTATCTGCAGCTGCCTCTACGGCAATTGAGCAAGAAATCTCCGCTGACCCACCACCATAGACAATAGAATTATTGCGGATCAGATTCCTAGCCACACATAAAGCATCATGGATACTGCGCTTTGTTTCCTCTATCATCATCTTGTTACCTAATGCAACATAAAGTAGACCAAAGATTTTATGAGATATTCAACCCTTGAAACTGCTTCCTGCTTCAGCCACATTAAACTATTGTACAATTTACACATGATGTAAAATCAAGAGAGATTAGAGTCAAAGATGAGAAGAGAACAGCAGAATTTAGGTTTTTGGAAGCCCTTGAACTTCTTACAAAGATAAACCACAGTGCTCCATCAACACGT